TCGCCCATCTCAGCCTACACGTCAAGGTGCAGCTGAACTGGTGCCCGGGCCATGAAGGAGTACAATGGAACGAAGCAGTGGACCAGCTGGCCAACACCGGCCGGAAACAGCTCTTCCCCCTGGACCGCGGTGCCGCTATGATGGTTCCCCCTTCCTATGTGAAGCACATGCTCAAGACCCAGATGGAGAAGGACACAAGGTCCTGGTGGCTTGAGAAGCGAGCCACTCTGGGCACCAGCGTACGGGACTTCCTTTGGGGATTTTCCCATGCCAGAAGATTCTTGAAGGCTGGTAAGTCATCACCCGAGCTCTCTGCCTTAATTTTAGGACACGCCCCCACACCCCATCATCGCCACACTATGGGGCTACGACCAGACCCGAGCTGCCCATGTGGGCATGCAGATGGAGACGTCAAGCACATCCTCAGAGACTGTCCTCTGCTGGATGGCGCGAGACGAGACTCCAGGCTGCTCCAGGTGATGCCCAAGTACGACTACAAATTAGTCCTCGATCGGCGGTATCGAGCGCCACTCTTGAAGATGGCAAAGATGACCTTCGAGTGGCTGAAGAATCTCCGAGAAGCGGAGAATTCTTCTCAGCCATAAGAGGACCCCTCAGTGCGGACCTGCATCAGCGTCTCGCTGGTGCCTGCCTAGCGGCTCAGCCACTACCATAACCACTACAACTACTACTCCCAGCGACCAAGGCCTACGACGCGCGGCGATAGTCGGAGGCAGCGCGACGCTGTGGCACCTCAGGAAAGGGGCAGCAGCAGTGTAATCTGTGGAAGGCTGTTTCGCGTGTGTGGATAGTTAGGTTCCTCCGTCGCTTGAAGCTCTGCGGTGACTCTCTTTCTGGGCCTCTGACTTGATGCTGACTCCCTTAAGGCCGGACCGTGCCGGTGGCGTGGCAAGCTCCACACCGGATCGCCTTGGCATACCCTCCGGGATGTCTCTCTGAGCCAGGCGATGGGGGCAGGTGGTTGGTTGGACACCCCCCGCGGATCCGAAACGTCATGAGAACGCGATCTCTAATGTCGCGGATGGCACACCCCTGATGTCTTGCCCACACAGGAGGTTGATCGCCAAGTGCCTTGAGTGCACGGCTCGGGTTGCGACCAATGCACCCATGTCCCAAGAGCCACCAAACAATGAAGAGAGAGCTTAGCTCCACCCCTCGCCATCTTTAGAGTTGGGAGGGGCCCCAGGGACTGAGCACCCCGATGCATGCCGGCCCAGATCTCTCAAATGGATCGGGCCCTCCTCGCGCACCCTCCGGGATGTCGACTG